CGGAGGAGACAATGAAGCATTGCTTTTATATCAAGAACAAACTAAAAATTGAAAATTTTGTTTCCTAGAAATATCATCAGATTTTTCTAGTAAAGACTATCGAATGTATCGATGTTCAAAGAGATTTTTAATACTTCACACGTGGATAAATATTTCTACAATTTTCATCGAAAACGAATGAACTGTTCAAGTTACACTAATGATTTATCTTTCCACTTTGTGGCCACGAATACAATATTCAATATTGTTTCTAGTTTTTTTTAATTCTTCTAACTTTTAACGAAGTATCATGTTCAGAATTTCGGACAAAACACCTAGTTCTATAATATTGAATACAGCAGGCCTTAGCAAAGTATATCAACGATTCTTTGTGAACGTTCAATCAAGCTGGTGCATGCTCATCATTAAAAAATCATTCACTGTCTGTACGTAATTTTCGAAACTTCATCGTAGCTTATGCTCTGAAACTTCTGCTATGAAGATCTGTATTCAGAGTCGTAATTAAGGATCATCGAAAGTAGTAGCGAATTTGTTATCTTATTTGCAATATATTGCATGGCGTTTCAATAATGACATAATCTTTTAACAAAAATTGATAATTTTAAAGTTTTCTTATTGTAAGTCATTATTTAACGTACCTGAAAGACTTCTCAATTCGTGTAAAATTACCCCAGTCAATAGCAGGATAAAATGAGCTAATAAATTCGATTTGTATGCTAGAATTCATATTTTTAGTTTTTTTTTTATATATCTAGATATTGTAACAGTTGCATAAAGGAACATTTGGCCAAACATGAACTCGAATAAATGGATGCGGTAAAGCATATGTGCATTTCTCTTGGTCAATCTGTCTTTCATAATTTTTAGATATTGTAATATAAATAATTAATGTAACAGATGCCGTTTTCCAAATGAATCACTTCGTGAAATCATCTTACCAAACTTACTGATTGTTAAAATGATGTTATTTTTTTATTTTAATTTATTCTTACTCGTCATCCGAAAATTTTCATTGAATTTCAATAGTATAACTGATTTGTATATTGTTTATTTCACACGCAATGCTTCTTATGGATCTAACACAGGAAACTGTCGTCACGCCATAATCGAGTTACATGTTGATTTGCGGTTTCGGATCAGACTAAAAATATTTTTATTTATTGCTGAAGACATATAATCCTTTCATATTTATTAAATCAAAGACATATATATTTCTATAAGCGAAAAGAATAATGTTTAACAGTGAGTGAAGATTGAAATATGATGATCTAAACTCATATCTCATTGTTAAACTAAATGATGGTATGACGACAGTTTTCTGTCTTATGTTCATAAGAATCATTGTGCTTGGAATAATCGATAAACACAAATTAGTTACATGATTCAACTTTAATAAAAACTTTCAAATAGTAAGGAACAAATTAAAATAAAATATAACATCATTTTAAAATTTTCTCTGAAATAAACAGCATTTCCTTGATTATTTTACATCAATCACGAGTTTTTACACATTTTGTCATTTATAATATCGCCATAAATATCAAAAATTCCATGTTGATGATTGCTTTATCAAACAGTATCAGATAATGTATAAATGATTCATTTTTAGAACATGTACGCCGTTTTTCTCGACTAGTGACACTTGATTTTAAAGAATGACGGCAAAAACTGCATGTATGACCACAGTTTAAGATAGTTTGCCCATGATTATCTAATTTTGAAGAAAAACTCTGCAACTGAGATCTTTTGCAACGATTAAATGAAATTCGACATTCAAAGACGAAAACTATGATATGTGATTAAGAATGTCTCTTTTCTTGTAGTGTTTCATGTAACGAAACAATTTCAATTCATTTTTATAGTTGACTCCATTTTTCTCTTGTTTATATTTGGAGTTTTCATTCATTGAAATTAATACATAAACAAGCCTCTACTAAAATGTCGATCTTGAGTCATCCTAGATATTGAGTGTAACTGGCAGAAAAGAAGCCATAGAACATTTACATGAAGAAACCATTTAGATTCAATCGGATTGCTTCTTCAAGAAATCGTCCCTAGTGCTTTACTTATTAAAGTTTTACTAAGAGGTAAATATTTAATTTTAATCAAATACATGTTGGAATAATGAAATAATGTGTGATAAAGATAGCATTGACCTGCTGAAACAACACAGTTATCGAATTATTAGTGGAAGTGAAATCATAGCAAATAAAATATATGAGAAAGTTGACGGTTGGTAAAGGAAATCATTTTTATATTCTTGATATTGATTGTCATTGGTACGATGTAGACAATAAATTTCTCGAATGATTTGTTTGTTCAAGATATCATCTCAACTTGGTTCGTGCATCAGTGAAACATTGATTACAAAGAATGCATTTTATTTGAAGGAGCTTCTTTTTTACACTTGCTTTTCTCATTTCTCTGAGTTGCCGAATCCTTATGATTTAGTGTTAATCATGACATAGTAGAAAACAAAAAAAAATGAAAACATGTTAGTATGCCTTCTGTGATAAAATGACACAGAAAAAAAAGTGTATTCATTGAGAAACCAATTTTGACAGTAAAAATCTATTCATACTGATTCATTGCGATGTAAATACAAGCAAATTTTTTTAATATATAAATCTTGAACTGTTACAACGATGAATGCGAGTGGTATGACCGAAATATTTCACAACGAAAAATTCATATTTTATCGTGTTAAATTTGCAATCATACTGACATTAGAAATACCAGCGATTATACTCTCCCTAATTATTTTTATTTTCTTTGCGACTCATCAATCTATTCTCAAAGCTCTACAGAACCAGGTTCTACTGATTCTACTCATAGTTAATTTTCTTCAAATAATAGTTGACCTACCACTATTTCTTCACTTTTATCTTATGAATCGTGTAAGTCCAGCAACATCGATCTACTGTACATGGTGGACTTTTATCGATTATACACTTTGTTCTACAGGTGAATTTCTTATGGCTACGATTTCTATTCAACGACATATGCTAATATTTCATGGACAGCTTCTACGAATGCCTATGAGACGCATACTTTTAAATCATGTACCACTTATTTTGTGTCTAATTTATCCGTCAATATTTTATTTGTTTAGCATCATTTTGTATCCATGTGATACTACACAATGGAATTTCAATGAAAAACTCTGTGGACTCGCCAACTGTTATCTTCTTTTCAATCCAATTCTAAGTACATTTGACTGGGTCTTTAACAATGGAGTGCCCATAATAGTGACTGTTTTTGCTAATCTAGCACTTGCTATACGAATCATCTTACAAAAGCGGCGTTTTCATCGATCATTCACATGGCATCATCAGAAACGAATGGCTACACAATTATTTTTGGTTTCAACGCTGTATATAATTGCTTGGATACCCTGTGTAATTGTTGCCCTTGTACATTTACTAGGCTATCGCGACTTTCTTGCTGATATTCAAAATGATTATTTACTTGATTTAAACTACTTGGTATGCTTTTTCCTTCCGTATGTTTGCCTAAGTCAACATCCAAAATTAGCTCAATGGACAGTTAAGTCGCACTGGCGCCAGACAACTGCTGTACCCACTTGAGCATTATGATCAATTCATTTTCGAACAAGAGAATGATGGATTCAATCCAATACTATTAGAGTGCCCGTTTTCCAACTGTATTACCAAAATATTTTCAATAATTCGAATGAACGTTTTCATTAAGACGATTGCTAATGATAAAAGTGTTTTATCCAAAGCTAGCAAATACCGTGTACATTATTTCAAGTTACTTTAGTATGCCTGAGACAGTGGTTTTTTTCACGATTTCTGCCTTGTTCAAACATACTTACCAATATATCTCGATTCAGCATCAAGCTTTGTTCTATCTGATTATTATCATTAAATATCTTCGTGTAAATGTTCTATCTTGTCTTTTCTGTCAGTCACATTCGATGTCTAGAATGCTTTAAGATTGACATTTTGGCAAAGAGGCTTTTTTTTATGTATAAATTTCAATGAATGAAAAATTCAAATATAAACAAGAGAAAAATGGAGTCAACTATAAAAATGAATTGAAATTGTTTCGTTACATGAAATATTACGCGAAAAGTAACATTCTTAATAATATATCATAATTTTCGACTTTGAATGTCGAATTTCATATGATGTTTGCGAAAGCTCTCAGTTACAGAGTTTTTCTTTAAAATTAGATCACCATTGACAAACACTCTTGGTCAGTCATCTCTTGTTTGAATATCATTTTACTCAGTGAAACTATATATGAATATAACTTCACTCCATCATTTCCAAAGAAGACTCATAGTTTAAAAACCATGGAAGAAATGTAGAGAAACCACTTTGGTACAAACAACCTCTCAAAGTATTTTGGACATATTTTTATTATGTCATCATTCATGGGTGTTTTTCACCTACTTATCTCGATGACATGAGACTAGTAAATGATGCGATTGATATCTTCGAACATTTAGTGAGAAAGACTCCCCTATTTTGTCTGTATTGAATATGAGTTCAACATGAATATATGTAAGTGTTTGGTTTTCTTTGATAAAAATTCAATCATTGTTTCATAGAATTGTAGAAGAAAAGACAAATACAAATTCAATCTGAAGCGTCGTGGAAAGCAAGCAACAGTAATTGGTATTATTCTTCTTAACTATTACGACTGCATCAAATGAAAAGTTTGTTGATCATACTGTCCCAATTAGTATGTCACAGTCTCCACAATCATTAATTACAAGCGATTTTGGAATATAGTTTTTGATACAATCATCAGTTGTGATAATTAGTTCAAGCCCTAACATAAATTTACAAATATGTCTGCCTCATGTACAATAGATGTCGCAGAAGCTTGAATGTGTATGATGAGTCAACCAACGCTCAGTCAATTATAATCATCTATACTCTTAAGAATTTATTTTGCGATGATAACGTTCGAATATCAACATTTATTATCATGCGCAACTACACGAACGAAAATGTTAGATAAATCATCTATTGAGCCCATTTTGGTGTAGCCCGACCCAAATAAGCATCGGGATCAACTCCATCTCCCTTGAGTCCATTGCGACCTCTTTTAAAGCTTGCCACTTGATTCTTTGCACCTGTTGATGCTTGCACATCTCCAATAGCAATTGCATGAATATGTTTGCTATCCTGGAAGCTATCTGCTACACGACCACGTGACCAAGCAGCAAAACCTGCTTTTCGTAATGCTACTATCATTGTATCGACTGTTTTCTTATCATTGTTCACAACAGATGTTCGAATATCTATAGCACCGCCACCATCATGTGTACCGGCACTAGCAGTTACACTGGATGAATAGGAACCTTGACTAAATGAAAATTGAAAACCTGATTTGCCCATTTGTGCCATGTAGATTTCAGCACGTTGGATCATTTCAATTGTACGTTGATTGAGTGTGACACCACGCCATGTCTTGCGTGTATAATCAGCAGCAGGAGCTTTTTGATCGAACCCATTCGAAGTCGCTGTAGCACAATTAATATACTCTGATGATGCCAGGGTTGCCAAATCCAAATTTTAGAAATCAGGAGCTTTTTTTTAAAATCAGAAGTTGAACAGTAGATTTTTTCTAGAAAATCAGGAGAAACATTAGGAGGTTTTTCCGAAGAATCAGGAGAGAATCAGAAGACTTTTCCAAAAAATTAGGAGAAAAATCAGAAGATTTTTTGAAATCAGGTTAAACAGAAAAGTACTAGACAGTTTTCTCTTGTAGAGGCAATATTGTCACTGCTAATTTACAAAGTCTTGTGACTTTTCTCTATCAAATGAGTAGCGAAATAATTATCTCGCAAGTGAAATAAAGAAAAGAGATGGTTAATCATGAATATGTCTCGATATCTCAAATTGAAAATCTTGAAACAAAAGATCTCGAATAAATCTATGTCTGTATACCTGTCTACTTTGTTCATAATATAATCTCGGGTCTGTCGTTTCGATCGCCGAAACAGACAACAACGGGTCGAAAAGACGCTGAAAAACTACGGAACTGAGCGGTTTCATAATGTTTCGGCGTCTTTCTTACGCCGGATATGTTGTATTCGGCAATATCTGATTCTTCAAAATTGCTGGATTGATTACAGATCCTGTGATATGCGGATAGATTACCTTATGCGATTGAATTACTGTCAAAATGAAGTAACTCCTCTCTTCCCAATCATATTTTGGATAATCGTATGTCTCCAAATTGTACACGAAGAAATATAATCGTATAGAAAGAAATACAGAGTAAAGCGAAAACTGTTGACGAGCTTTGTTTGTCCATAAACGATCGTATTTCTGCGCATACGATCACGAAGTTATACAACTGCAATACTGAGCCATTGTAAAACGCCGTCTCTCTCCGATTACGAGCGTGTTTGTTTGGCATAGGTTAATATTGACAACGGTTTGATGAGACTTGGAAGACATCGGATACGATGGAATGAGATAGGAACAAATGGGGGGGAGGGGGAGGGGGCGGTAATCAAAAAGCAAGGATCGTACAGCCTACTCAATACGCGTATGTCGTTTTCTACAGAACACAAGAAAATGACCAGTTTTCGCTGGGAAAAATCAAGCGTTTTCGATAGCACGGGGGTCAAACGATTTCTCACAAATCCACTGTATGGGCGCCCTTGCAACCAATGAATTAGGTTAATCTGGGAAACGAAAAAGTGAAACTGACTTGCGAAAAATGATCAACATCATTGAAGAATTCCTGAAAATTGAAAAGAACAAAAAAACTTCTTTTTCTCACATGCGCAGCCATCCGAAAAAAGGAACAAAAAGCAAAAACGACATTTAATGAATTCTGATCGTTTCGATTTCTGTTCCCACTTAGTCAGACAGAATTATATTATAGTCAGATACTACGCAAATAGAATACACTATTTTTCTGATGTTTTCCAGTTTTCTAATGCATACATAAGCTGTTGCACAATAGGCTCTATGAACAATTGGAAGTTTCGTTTCTTTTTTACTCCTTCAAGTCATATTCAACCTATATTGATGACTTGCGAGTTTTGTCGGATTTATAGTACTATTGTGTCAGTGGCTTTTAGTTTTCTTTGGACGAAAACTATATGCCTCTTTTCTCCTCTTTTTTATTAAAAATCCTTTTTTTCAAGAATGCTGAGCCACTTTTTTTTCCTTTTTTTTACAAAGTGTTGGCGGGATGCTAGTGTGTTTTACCTGCTATTTTAGAATGGTCATCGAGGAACGCTCAATATTTATTCTTTCGAGATGTTCCTTTCGACGATTCTGATATTCGAGATTTTTTCTTTCTGGAGTTTTTGAAATTTTTTCGAGATTTTGAGACATTTCTGTAATTATGTGTGCATTATTCTACTGGTATTTTCACATTTGTTCATTTACCGATATAAAGAGAGTAGGCACAAATATTTTATAATGATATGACAAGAACCAAAAAGCAAAACAAATCGAATATGCCATAAAAAAAGGTTTACGATCCTGTCGGCATAACTTTTGGCAACATCCCTACATTTTTCTGCCGAGAAAACTTCGTGTTGACAATTCTTGGTTATCTAAGAAATAATTATGAAACTCTGTAAAATCGGAATGACCGTTCATTCTAACTCTCAATTCTGCATCAACAAAATGATTTGTGGTTCGATTTCTATTATCATTTTATAAAAATTTCAGATGAATGAAAATTCACTCTAAACACACATTGAAGATAGGTACGGCAAAGAGATAACGGGGCTAATTTTTGTGCATTAGGCACATTTTCACTACCAAGAAGATAGCTAGGAGATTATCATCTCTACATTTAACAGTGCTCTTTCTCTTCTTCGCTTTTTTACCGATTCAAAATGTCGCTAAAACCGAAGCCATTAAAAATTTGAAAATCAGTAGAAATCAGGAGAAAATCCTCACAATCAGCTCCTGAATTCAGGAGAATTTTTATCAGGAGAAAAGTTTGAAAATCAGGAGACTCCTGGCCAAATCAGGAGGTTTGGCAACCCTGGATGATGCCCATTGATTAGTACCCACACGACAAAAACCATTCTTTTGTTCAAGACACGAAACTGTTGTACCTTGCAAAAAACTACCAACAATTGATGCAGTAGTCGATGCTGCACTGCGTATATTTAAACTTGGATTGGCTTTTATGATACAACTACTATATGTTGGTGCAAACAGGCCAATGCTCACAAACAGCACGATGAATGGTAGATGCATTGTTACTGTGATTCTTTAGTTTTTTTTTTCAATCATACTCCTTCAAATCTTCATAGTGATATTTATAGTGTGCAAGTGAGCGTGTTTTCAACAAGTGCTGATTGAAAGCTTCTAATCTCTTTGATACCAGATTTTGATAGAAACTTATATTTTTCTATTACTGTATTTCAAATGATAGGTTTCAATATCATTGTTCTTATACTTTCAAATGTCTTTCGCAAGATATTTAATCATATATATTGTTGTGTGCAATACTGTTTTGATTACGATGAAGTAAATTAATATCATAAGCGCTGCTTGCAGTAAATATTTTTGTCGTTCTTTTTTGCAGCTTTGGAAATCGATTCTGACTTATTCTACACTCATACTGCTAATTGAAAATAGCAATGACTTTAGTTCTTGTGAAATAGAAAATTTTTCTATAAAAATCAAACTAATTTTTCATCGATTTATTTTTTTATGAATGAATTCAGTGTCGTTTAAGAGAATTTATAAAAAATTTTCAATGATTCATCAGTTTTAATACTACAATAGCACTTAATGATACTTATTTCATTTCCATACTGACCAAACGTATTTCAGATCATTGAAAAGCAATCTGTACACTAGTGAGCAGCATATTTCTATTTTTTTAGAAATGATTCCTATTTAGAGAGTTTCGAATGGATGAATTGAAATAAAAAGTTGTCTGTGTGTTATTGGACAATTCGATAAATTTAACTGAGGTGACCGAAACATATCAATGACTAGAAAAATGATAAGCTTTATTTACTAAAAAGAAATTATTTTGTTTTCAACTTAGAATTGGAAATAATTTACGATTTTCAATAAGACGATAGTGATGCAATGTTCTAATATGTAATTTTTACTTGTTGGATTTCTTTTATAGTATTGGCAAAAAAGATCAATCTTGCTTTTCATGCTTGGTTCCATGTTTCTCTCTAGCTAAAAAATCCGACTCTTACGTATAGCTAGCTGTTTGGAGGATGTGGATGTTAATCATTTTTGCATCGATACATACCTACGCTCAGTTCCACTATCGGGATTAGAGTAATGCAATCATTTTGACACACTTCTTATCCAGTCAACAGAAAAGAAAAAAGACAAATAAAACCGTGGTGATGCATCAACAATAAGAATGTGTTAACATCAATCTAGATTTGATTATTAGTTATCTGGCTTAATTGGAGCACGAAGAAGCATAAAAGTGTCTCTTCATAATCAAAAATGAGTTAATTAGAGTGGTCTTTTAGAAAGATATTTAGTTGCAAATATTTTTATGAATAATTTTCAAAGAGTGGGACGAACTATGACTTTCATCAAAAGTAGTTTTTGATGATGATATTTATCTTTTATTTTTTCCTTGTCTTCTTGTCATTTTGGGTGTTTTGTAAACAAAACAGTGCGAATCGAAACCCACAGACAAACTTGTACCGTAATTATGAAATTGAATCGAAAAAAAAACACAAATCAATGCAATATTCGGACCGAATAAATATTTTTCGTATAAATCTTAGCTTTTTTTCAACTTGTACATTAAAACTTTCGTTTGCATGAATCTCAGTCATTCTTTAACAATTAGGATTACAACAAACCCAAAGCCTTGGAATTTAGTAAGATAAGATGATATCAACAACGATCTGTTCTACTAGAGATGCTGCACAAACAAAAAAGAATGTTGAAATTTGAAATCATATCCTTAATAGATGGATTCGAATTCCGCCTTAAACAAAATATATATATATATAAATAGTTTGTGTTTTTCATAACGATCACCAAATTGCAAACTATTTATGCGAATCTATTCTAGATTTCTTGCACTTCTATTTAGAATCTTCAAACTTACCTATATGATGCATGACACTCATAGAAATAAACGATGTATACGCATATATCTCAGAAATGTTGAATTTCACCCTAAGAAAAATTCAAATAGCTTAATCAAAAACAAAAACCAGAATTAATAGGAAATTTATCTAGTGACAACACTTCATATATCAATGTGCAAATTAAGTTCGAAATATCTAAAGTTTTCTGGAAAAGATGTATCGTAGTTAATACTGGAAAAATCGAAATATTGCTGACACACTCAATCGATCGTTTATCGTCTAACAAAAGGTTTCGTATAAATCAGTAGAAGAAGCATTCGTGTGTCGAATTCAATACTTCGACTTCTTCAGTACTAACTACGATATATAACATGTCGTCATTCTTCCTTTTGCAACCTATTTCTTTTCACTTTTATGACGGCATGTGATGAAATTACACCTGTATGAGTCATAACTATACAATCGTCATATTATATTTCGACGAGCACTTATCTAGAGGACTTGTTCGATACACAGCACATATTCATTATAATTCGTTCTTAAAAGATGGATCGTTCTGACATTCAACTGATTTTAAACCATCTCAAATTAAGTGAAGATTGTGTTGCTAATATCTATCATCATGGTTCATGGGTCTATGGCACGAATAAACCCAACTCTGATCGAGATATTTTTATTATTGCCCGTTCATTTAGTCAAAATCCATTACAATTTTGGAAGGATTTTGATTATTTTCATGAACATGAAGTCTATAAATTATTGAATAAATATGATATTTGTATTTATTCAGTAGAAAATTTCGAATTACTGTTAGAAAACAATTATTTGATGGCTGTTCAATGCATATTCTTACCAAATGAATATAAAATTAAAGAAGATATCGATTTTCGACAAATTTACTTAGACAAATATTATGATACATTAAAATTAAAACGAGCTGGATTCTATGAAATGTACAGAGACATGAAGTTATATAGTCCTAATGCTAATTTAGATGATTCATTGCACAATTCAATGTCAAGTGAGCGATGTCAATCACGTCGAAATCATGTATTTAAAAATTTATTTCATGGTATTCGATACTTAGATTTTGTTGACCAATTAATTCAAACAAAATCGATATATGATTATAAACGTGTAACACATATATTTCATCAGATGAAAGAAATACTTGGTGATCCAGGAGATCAATCAAGCATGAAACGGTAAATAAGAAAAAATTGGATCGTTCTTTATTCTTAAAAAAAACATAATTGTCTTTTTTTTCAGTGTATTTGAGTTTGTTTGTGCAAAAAATGATGAATTTAAATCCAGATTAGATGCATTGGTACCAACAAATAATATTAAAGGTATTTTCGAAGCACAGATTATATTTGATTGCACACAGAACACTGAACAAGTTATTGAAAAACTTAAACAAGCATGTGATAATACAAAATATACTCTTCATTTAATTCAATTAGATACGAAACAAGGAAATAAAAGACTTCAACAATTGATGACATCATCTTTTCATTGCGGTGAATATCAATCTATTGTTTTACAAATCAAAGAAGAAGCATATCAACATTTTCAAGAGTTTAATATCGTACGTATTAAAATTAAATCTTCAACATCAAATGAAGGTATACCACAAACTGATATTGATATGAAATTATTCTGGAATAAAATTAGAAATTATTTTGAATTTAATTATCATGTATCATTAGAAAATGACCATAATGGAGAAAACTTAAAAAAGTTTATAAATCAATGTCAAGTCAAGTATAGACTTAATTCACAATTATCACGTAATAAAAGTAAACAGATTAATGAAAAGAACTTTCACCATAGGATTACAATGGATCTATTTCATGTTGGTCGAAAAAGAGCATTTGAACTAAATGATGAAATTGTCAAATATTCAACGAGCAATAATTTTCCACCACCAGAAATCACATATGGATTTATTATCTACGATTCATCTTCTGAACTCAATCACAGTTAACCATAGTTCAAATGTTAGTTTTATTTTTATGAAAGATCTTGAAAATATTAAATTTATTTTAAGTAAAAATATTTCTGATCAGTCCTCTGATGACTCTTTTGACACGTCAAATATGATTTCTCATGGTTTTTTGTGGTTATTATACTTTCGAGAAGTCGAAATTTCGACGAATTCAGAACTCCAATGACTTCATTGCAAATCAATAATAAAGATTGTTGACATATTCATATTGACATTTTCATGAAACCACTCACATACGGCGCTTTCCTGGAAAAAGAATTTGGAACTTTTTCACATTTATGTTTTTCACTATAAATCGACGAACTTGATTCGATCATGACAAAAACATCAAACAAACAAATCTTTACTGAAACTTAGAATTGGTAACATCTTATACTTGAACGAACACTGAGACCGACAAAAGTGTGGAACAAATGAAATATCCCTTGAAAAATGCAACAAATGTCATTAAGAATCCGTGTATAAACGATTTCACTCAGATATATTTCTGTTTCGATTACACTTGTAGATTTAAAGAAGATGAATGAAGATTTTTCGAATAACACAAATCGATCATATTTTAATTGCTCATCGAGCAAAGTTTGAGAACACAGTTCAGTCAACACTCACTATTCTCTTATTTGAATGCTTATCAGCACAATAGTTTCATTTATAGATTGTCTTTCATATGCTTAACATGTTCAGATAACTATCTCCAATTATAATTCACGTGAAATTAACCAGATTGACATGCGGATTATTTCCAAAAAACGAGTGGAAGTAGTTTTACGTATCGAGATGTAAGTATGAAACTTCTCTCTATTCGCGCTCACATTATACATCGATGGGTTATTGTGTAAAACGTTGAATGTACAAAAGAGAGTTATATGGTTGTTCAAATTTAATAAGATCAAACGGTATTTATATTTTTTTGTATTAGTATAATCAAATATTCCAAGTCATATCAAATCATTATGGAACCGCTTTCTTCTCTTGGAAAAAAATCAATACTTGAAATCCATTTTCTGTTTGTCATTCATGTGATAGAATATTCAAGAGTCAAGAGCGAGGAAGGAAAGGATAGAAAGAGAGCATAAACAAAAACATTTATTTTTTTTTTCGTTTCCTATGAATAAGACTTTTTTTCGCCAAAAAAAAACAAAGATTTGTGCCAAAGAAAGAGAAGAAAAAATTTTCAATTTGTAAAAATACGTTGGTATTACCAAGCAATGTAGTGTTTTTAGCTAGTCTTATAAACATTTTGATTATGACTTCGATTGTTGCTATGTTTGTGTAGTACCTTTTTAGACAAAGTTGACTATTGCATAGTAATTATTGGATACTTCACATATTATACCATTCTATCGTGCTACAAGTATCGCTGGAGTTAAATCAATTGACATAGACAGACTGTTTATTTTAATCAATAATGTATGATAAAATAATAAACAAATTAAATATATAAGTATAGATTTAGATAGATTTCTTTCAACAGAATATTCTGTACGAAATGATCAGCTGCGAGCAGCAATTTTTATTGATGAGAATACGGTTCATTATACTGCTAATCGTGTATTTTAAAACAGATTGAAACTTAGAAGATTTAAATTACAAGTAACTATTGCTGAAGCAATTCGATCTAGTGAACATAGCTGCTATTTAGCATTCGAACTGAAGTTGTAAAATTATGGTTTAATTATAAAACTAAAGTCGATTGACTAAAACCTATCTTTATTATTATTAACATTGTTTTTTGCAACTTTTCTTGAATTATTTATCATCGTATCGTTATGTATATGTAGATGGTCGTTCAATGATTTTCGGCAGGCACAATATCTGAAAAACATTGTCCTTCAAAAGAATCTTCAATATCACTTGTTTCTAATGTAACTAAATTGTTCAAAAAATCGGCAACAATAACTCTTACGTCAGAAGGTCTTTCTGCAAATGTATGGATCGACAGAATTGGAAATTCAAACAATTGTTGAATCTCACTAAAGCTGATATTGTTTGAAAAACCTCATAGTACGTTACTTTCGAATGATAGTTAGTTTATTCTTTGACGACAAAGTAACGATGGAACATCTATGAGACATCATTGTTTGCTCTCAGCTTTTCATATAATCTGACAAAAAAAACAGAATAATTCTCTGGTTGATCAAAACCGAATGACTTGTTTTGCTAGAAAACTTTCTTTACTAAACGTGCCAAAAAAAAGAATAAAAAATGTGCTTTTTCAAAAAAATTAGAAAGTCAAGTTTCTTCTACAAAATGATTAGATGCTGAGGATATTTTGATTTTACGTTAAAAAAAACAAACAAAGATATATACAGAAAAATTCACTATTATTTTTTAAACATCCGTATCATTAGTCCATAGGGTATAAGAGTAGATCGTTGATTTGATGTCCACTCAATTACATTAGCCGGAATAATATCACATAATCTGGGTCGACCTGGCTGTACAGTGAATGTTCCTGGTTTCTGTTTACACTGAAGAACTACTTGAACATTATAAATTTCACGCCTGAGGCCGGGTAACTTGAATGTTTTGATTGGGCTATATTGTGAATCACTAGCATAGTTAATCGATGGCGATGTTAACCATTGCTGCTCGTAGCCTGAGTCGTCAGAAAAAACGTTGCCATCATTTAGTAAATCACCAGGCAGAGGTATGAAGCGATTTCGTAGTATTTGTTCAAGTTTTTTCTCACACGTGCCGTAGTAAGATGTAGTCCAACTTTGAAATATCTTTTTTTGTTGTGATTGTACTCGATCAGTTTGTATGCGAACACGTACCCATTCACGTGGTATAGTATATTCATATCCACCTCTCCTTACTGTGTTAGGGTTATTATCGGAATAATGCTGTTTGCAATAACAGTCATACTTTTGTTGAAAATAAACATCCAATTTTAAGCTTTTGAAGTATTCCTGACAGACGGACAACATACAGATTACTTCATCCTCTGGGCCGTGATATTCTCGTATCGATTCAGGTTTGCCATAAACAATTGCAGACACGACTACTTGTGGTAATGGATCAACTGATATCATCGGCGGTTGCCTTCTGTGGTCGACCTCTCTGACAGATGACCGAACAGGATTTGGGTGTAATTGCTCATGTCTAATAAAAGAGTCACATCTGGATATGGACGAAACAGCAGTATCATCAGGTATAGGAACTCTTATTGGAGCAATTGGTTTTACGTCTAGAACTAAAACAAGAAAGTCCAGCAGAAATTTTAGTAGCAATACAATGAGATATGCATCGAACGCTGAGACGAAGTCTTATGTACTATTCGATAAGAACTTCGCAGATGTGCAAAAGGAAATGAGGCAATAAAACGAAAGAATATTGAGCCAGCACATGATGAGGATTAAGTTCTTGGTAGCTTACCTCTGGGTTGAGGATTCACCACTTGTAGGGGCAGTGAAGGCGGCGGGTTATTCGATGGCTTCACGGATGGTAGTGACGTGTAGGTACAATGATCATACAGTTGTTTTATAAAATATCCCCAACTCACAAACATTAGTACTATCGCAAATGTACATCCGACGCCAAGACCCCATTGCATGTCAGTCAAATCTAACAAAGAAAAATAAGAATTAAAAATATATTGTATGCTCATGAAACTTCTCAACTCACCATATGTTCTAGATTTTAATGGCATAGTTCAACGGTTGTCAGTACAATATTTATTTATGAATGCTAATACTTTAATTCAATTTAAATAATTGAAATATAATATTTCTAACTAAATTTTTACACAATTAATTTGTTTTTTATCAGTATGATCGAATAATTCTTAAAAAAAAAGATTAACAGCATTAATAAAGTTGTACATGATCGCTTTGGTAGGAAAACAAAAGAGGTTAGGTTCGCTTGATGATAACACTTTCTAAAAAAAAAAGTCATTGTTCATTTAAAAAACACATATTTTACCTTTTTGTTCACTCTTTCTTTCGATCGTCATGTATTTATTTATGCCAGAATAATTAAAAGAAGTCATATAAAAAACAGTCCTTTATTTTCTTCAAGAGACCAAATGCCATTTCTCTCTTACTTCCAAGACAACATCAAATACAAAAGCATATTCAGAAAACATGAGTTTACAATGCTTCTTCGCATCATCAAAAAGAATGTTTATTTTTGTTCTTTGAATAGTTCTCGGTTTTTTCCAACTAAAAAAACTACGTCATGCACTTTATTTGTTTAACGAAATTTTTCTTCTTCTGCGATTTGAGCTCAAACAAATATAATTTTCTTACCTTATAATGTATGGTGGAGACCACAAACTGCATAAAAACAAAGATGCGTTCATACACTTTTCTCGATCTTATTATGTGCTCAAAAAATTTTGGATTCCTGTTGGTAGTTGGTTAGCATAGAAACAAGAAAAAATGGCAACCGATAGATCAGGAACATCTTTCAACACTGCGTTACAGCAATTCGATTCTGCGGATGTTGGGACATTCCTGTCAAACATCTTCTCGCGTAGCAGCTTAATCATTGATATGGAAAAATAAATAGTCTGATTAGAGATTCAAACAGAATCACGTGCAATGTATTATTCAGGTTTTCTGTTCCTAAACGGAAGGTAAAACTATTAGAGAAAAACTATTTGTCCTTTGATACAGTAAACCAGATCACTGAGAGGACAAACTTAAGCCTAGAAAGTGAAGTTCTTCGAAATCCTACACTCAATATAACGCTGAGTCATGGTATTACTACATTTTAAAGTACTGCACACTTCCTAAATATTATATAATTTCGTGCTTGAAGTCTGGATTTTGTGAAAAGCATATTTCTTTTATGCACCTCGGCTCTTTATCGTTGAATCATTCATTTCTTTAGGTATAGACTTCATTTTATTTTAGATTATTAAAATTCATTATGAATATTGAATGTAAACATTGCTATGAAATTAATATTGTGCCAAAATCAAGTAGAAGATCGCATCCTTTTTCTTGCTATAAATGCGGCGGTAACTTGCTGACAAAACTTCATCAAAGAGGTCGCCGCACTTCGTTGTATTCAAGAAGAACATTTCTTGAGGACGATACACCTGATTGTCTGATCCCATTCTATTTACCAAGAACATATGATTTATTACCTGAACGAACACGGAAAATGGATTCTTCCATGGATGCACGTCCCTTGGAAATGTGGGACCGTTCATATCCAGTAGATTCTATAATCGGCACCTCACGAGTATCTCGTAGATACAAGAAACCAACTGATGCACCCGATCACATGCTTGATTTTCGTCGAGAAACAACTGATATCCCTATTGCTAGGTTTGCTTCTCGGCCTCGGCTAAGAGAGAGACGAATTTCACCTCCATCAACATATCGTCATGATGCTACGTTTTCAGCATCAAAGCTAATACGAGAACGAACATCGAGCAAACCAAGATTTTGCTCATATCACAAACTTTGTCGAGAATATGTATGGTCTCTCAATTGGCCACAAGAATATTTCAATCATCGTTTTAATCGTTGCTATTGTTCTCAATGTTATCCAGAGCATTATAAAGATGTATATATAACAGCTGGCGCGTCCTATGTTATTCCTCGAGGTTGGGTTCGTTTTGGTCTATATGTCGATGATGTTAAAGCCAATCGTGAAGATTTATGGAACACATGGATTGTTACGTACCATGGAACAAAACTACCAGCTGCGCAATCTATTATTGCTCATCGTCAATTTTTGTTACCCGGTGATACGTGTGATGATGGAACCATAATTGGTATTCGTAAAGGTCACATACCTGGCAAAAAACAAGTCTACACTTCACCAACAATTAAGTATTCGAGTTTGGATTGTTACTGTGAGAAGTACTCATATCAAACCACCGACGGTCAATGTTATCAGGCGAAGATTGTTCTTCAATGTCGACAGCAGCCTGGTACTTATGAAACTCAAGGTGAAACAGTTGGTAGTAGATCCAAACGAATTTGTAACATAATACCGAATGATAGAATCGAAATTTTTACGACTGTGAGAGCAGCAGTTGTACCCTATGGGCTACTAGTACAACTTACACCAATGTAAAGATATCCTTATGAGATATTGTATTTGCTTAATTTTCATTAGCACGATTGACCGTTATGCTTATGATAAAGAAATATAATTTTTCTGTCTCTATAAGAAAGTTCTTTTGCACAAAAAAAGACGTAATTACTTTAAAATTCAGCGAATGAAGAATTAGTATGTCTACTCGTAATTTGTATTTTTTGAACAAGATAGTATTTGATTGGGTAGCATTTAAAATATAATTCTAGTTTTCGATGTACACATAGTAATCTCGTTATTAATCATTTTTCTATAATTCAATTAAGTAATAAAAATTAAACTTCGATGTCGATGACACCGTTACTTCTTTGTAATTTGGGATTAAGTAACCTAGAAAGAATATCTGTCCAATGCTCATCGGTGCATATAAATGATTATTATGTTATCTTATAATAAAATTAATTCAAACAGTCATATTGATGGAATAGATAACATCGAAAAACGTATATAAAGTCGACACCAAATGATTATTACGTATGATCATAATATTATTCTTAAGTAAGATCGATTTCGATCTTGGCAATGTGTATAAATTTTCGATACATAGTGATGCACAATCTTTCTATAAATAGTAGTATATTCACATATTGATTCTTTATTATAAGTGTCGTAGGACATTATTTCATCAAAAGTAAAAGACTATTCTAAAACAACACCTAGATTTTTAACCAACAGATGCGAGGTATACTATTAGATAGTCGAAATCCAGGTTAGAAACACAAAGTTGTTCAGGTCGTCCTCTTTTCTTTAATAACGCCGCTACAGCAACAAAACCGTATAACACGACATTATTGAACAGAATGATGACGCTATTTATTGCTATATTAAGCAATGTTCTTTGCGGCGAGATAATGGCAAACAACAAAAAAGGGCTCTACAATAGTGAGTTTAGTTCTATGTGAAGAAAAGAGCCACAGTTATATCTTCAGCCTATGTCCCAGCTAAATTATACGTTTCTTTACAGAAAATATTTTTTTGCATATAACAAATCATGTATCTCAGTATATCAATCTTATTTCTCTTTGAATGATATATGAAGTTTGTGCAAACTCTTATTTATAATTGATTTCTTGTATGATTAAATATAAGTTCTAAAGTCCAAGATATTTATTGAAATCGATTGAAAATAAACCTTTACATATAACTAGGATTCATTAGGCGCAAAGGTGCATTGCAGTATCAAAATGTAAGAAAATGTTACATTATAGTATGAAATATTGATTTATATTGTCATAATATCACACTATAGTAAATACAGTAGAGTGATAAAGAGGATCATCATGAGATCGCAATAATTGCATTATTACGACGCTATTTAACGATTATCGATGACATGGGAGACGATAGTTATATGGGAATAAAAAACTTTGCACTACTTCGTTATATACCAATTCGTAAAACATTCGAAATTGTGAATATTGGCAATCGATGATAATAATATTTTTTTACATATCCATACGAATTCGTTTAGAATGAAGGTGATTGTATTCCATTTGAATAATGAAATGAGTCTTTTTCTCTTTGTCAACAAACAATAAGTGCTTTTTTCCTAAAAATTTTATTCTATACAGGTCATAAATTCATTTAAAAATGAATAAATAACATTGCAAATAAAGAGATAACAACCATGTCACCACTTTTTTAACAACTGCGTGGCAGTTACGCGCAATAGCCATTTTGCGACGCAGTTGCGCGTAACTGCGACGCACTGGCCGCATCTGATCTTAAAGAAATAGACTGTGTTCACTGCGACGCAGTGATCGCAGTGTCTGCTAAATTATTCGCTGTTCTTACAGTTGTTGAAAAAATAACCAATGATAAATAAATATCTTAAGTTTCCAATTCGATGATTTCTAAACGCTTTCAATGACGACTGAATGGAATATAGACGGACACGTTTCCAGCAGACAAGCTCATTTCTTTCTTTTTCTTTCACGAAGACACTTGTAGTTAGTCTCTCACTTTATCAAGGTAAGCATGATGAAACTTTCAAAATTCAAGTAGAAATTTTTTACCAAAAGAAGAACTTTTTAAGAAGAAAACGATTCTTTATAAAGCTCGGCCAAAGGTCTTTGGGGCTGAGGAAACCAAATCTATAACCAACCTTTCGAAATTTTAAGTTCTTTTTTTTCACAAAAATTTTTTTCATAAAAAAATTTCTTTTAACAAAAAAATGTTTTTTTCGTGAAAAGTGGTTTCATACATAAAAAAGGTTTTACGAAAGAACTGATTTACAAAAATATTTTTTTTGCAAAAAGCTTTTTCTATGAAAGAGTGTTTTGAAGAAAAGATCAGTTTTTTCGTATAAATTCTTTTTTGCTAAAAGAAATCATGTTTTTACAAAAGAGCGATCTAGAAAAAAGTTCTCGTAGAAAAAAATTTTTTTTTTGTTACATAATTGTTTGTGAGAAAATCAGTGTTTTAGTAAAACTTTTTTCGCAAAAGCTTTTCTTGTTAAATAAAAACTCATTTTCTTTACGATAAAGTAAGTTTTTGAAAAATCAAATTCAAAATGTCGAGAAACCAATTCCAGATTCGGCTTCCTCGACGCAGAGACGTTTGATCAAACTGTATACAAAATCTCTTTTCTCTTAAAAAAACTTTTCTTTTGTGAAAAAAATGTCTACTTTAACTTCGGTTTTGTTAAAATTAGAATTTAAAGTTGAAGCCTGCTAACTGAACCTGAACTTTAACCCTTTAAGTTTAAAGTAAGACTTTAACTTTAATGCAAAGTTTAAGGTGCCATCCTTATTCCGGTCTATCCCTTGACCAAACAGTAGATGATAATAAGACACACTTGTAAATGTCAATAGAAATGATTAAGTAGGCTCCTACTTATTATTTCTCAATATACTCAAATCCATTTTGATTGTACCAGCAGTTCATCTTTTTTTTTCAGTCAAAACTGGAATTCAGAAATTTAACATAATACATGTTCCAAAATTCGATGGTTAAGAACGTTTTTGTTGTATTAGTTACAAAGATAAGTTATTGTTAAAATAAGATGACTACTGTTTCATTTTTGATGAAGACAGTCATTTTTCGCTAAAAATAGTAAAAAGCAATATTTTATCTATATGTAAACTCCAACCTATTCACGTGGTTTAGGTTTTGCATTGTTAAAAAGGGTATATTCTTGCCTGATATTGTAGTAGATGCGCAGAACAAATGATGTCTACAATTTAGTACTTTTTTAAAGGGGATCTCTCTCTCTCTCTTTTACATCAAGATAGCTTGCTTTTAGTCATTGTTTTTGTATTTTTTTTATATTATAAATAAATGCTTCGCTTCAAGGCTTCTATATTAAAAACAACCAAGACACGTCGGCTACAGCGTCGTCAATCACGAGAAATGCTGAATCGTTTATTTGGTGATTATAATACTAATGAAAGTGATGATGAAAGTAACATTACGGTTGGTGACCATAATCAATCATCTGAACGTGAGTTAAGAAATTTATCACCAAATGTTTCCTCATGTTTACCATCATTCGAACCAATAAATTATCAAAACGATCAGTTTGACAACGTACATTCATTTGATGATCATTTATTAGACATGGATAATGGGACACCATTATTTAATGACAGTTCCATAACTGTCAACAAAGCCGTACGTGAACTTTGCTGTTTCTTCACCGATTTCAATATAAACAAACGTACTGCAGTTCATCTACTTCGTATTATTAAAAGACTTTTACCAAAACCTAATAGACTACCAACATCATGGAAAGGGACCACGAAGGTATTAGGCTATGTATCAAGATCACAAACAACATTTTTATGCTCAAGCTGCTTCCAACAATGTCAAAAGGGTCGATATGGTACTAAATTATGTACAAATGAACAATGTCCTATGAAAAATCGAATAATGAAAAGTACTGAAATAGTCGAACTTGTACATCTAGATATTCGTACACAAATACAAGCTATTTTAGATAGAAATCAATTATTACTTAATCGAAAAGGTTTGTATCCTACGACGGATGTTTGTTTCGGCGAATATTATCAAAGTCAATCAAATGCAACAACTAATCGTGTTACTTTAATCGTTCATACGGACTAGGGGTGTCAGGGTTCCCGTACTTTGGAGTTCCGTTCCTAAGGAACGGGAACCCACACTGGGTTCCGGGTTTCCAGGAACGGGAACCCACACCGGGTTCCTAAGAATGAGGAACCCTGTTGCAAATCGTTTACAACAGAAATTTAGGTAGGGTTCCCAGTTTTGGGGAACCCGGTTTGGGTTCCCGTTCCTGGGAACCCGGAACCCAGTATGGGTTTCCGTTCCTAGGAACCCGGAACCCAGTATGGGTTTCCGTTCCTAGGAACCCGGAACCAGGAGTGACTTGCTCAAAACGAAAGAAAAAGTATGTCTATAAACTCGAGCGTGTACAAAAAAGCATAGAAATGAATTTTCAACCGGGTTCCCATTCCTAGGAACCCGGAACCCATAGCGCGTTCCCGTTCCCAGGAACGGAACCCGAAACTGACACCCCTAATACGGACGGGGCACCACTCGTCAAATTATCAAAACAAAGCATATGGCTCTGTTTTGCCTCACTAGTGGAATTATCTTCACCAACTCGTGATTACCATAAAAATACTGTTATACTGTCACTATGGACGTCAAAAGTCAAACCTGATCCAAATACATTTTTACATGAAACCATCGAAGAAATTTAACTACTTATTAATAGGGTACATCAATATTTATTAATGGACAAGAATATGAAATTACATAAGAACACAATATTTCGTATCTGTTCTTCCAGCTAAAGCTTTTTTTTGTAAAACTATTAGTTTTAATGGCTATTCAGCCTGTGCCGAGTGTTGCAGTACAGGTAGGTGTAATCATTTTGGAGGCATTCTTATTTTTCAATCTGAAATATTTGAGTTTTATACGATAATATTTGTTTCGGATAACTTTCGACGTATTCTAAGTCATATTATAAAAATCGCCAAAGTTCTATAACACATACAAGTTTAGGTTTCAAATGGAATTTGATTTAAAGAGTATTACTTAAAAACAAGTAACGTTCATCGTCAAGCGATTCACTTAGCCCTAGACTGATAGAATACATGTACGGATGTAATAGCATAAAAAGCTACATTAAAAAAGTAATACGCAAAAATTGATAATATAACCAGTATATCTTAGGCGAGCAGAGAACTTAACTCGGAGAATTCTCACTCTCAGTAAAGATAATTCATTTTACAAATTTAATTTTTTTTGTCGTTTTTGTTTTATTTTTTTTTTGCTTTTATAAATATAAATAGCGTTCAATAAGATTAGACAAGAATACGATTTTTTTTGTAATTATATTGGCGCTATTTGTACGTACAAAAATATGAATTATATTATTCATAAAATTTGAGTTTTATTAATCAATATTTTATGCTTCAATTCGCGCATTAATTCTAAACTATTAATAAATTAGATATTCATTGATACAACATTGCAGAATCAATCCTACAATAATGAATAATTTAAACGATTTCTTTAAATCCATACTGCTCATTTGGTCTGACTCTCACTAATTAAATGCTTTTGTAAGCCGTTTTACGCCACTACCCGAATTATAGTTATTTCATTGACATTTTACCGATGATTATTATGGGTTCATTTACATCAGTCTTTAGATGGTCATTTGTGCCATAGTTACCGGAATAGTTGTTTGTACCATGGTTGCCATATG